TCTCTCTCTCCCTTCTCCCCCCCCTCTCTCGTCGTCATCTCTCCTCAACCTACAAAATGTGCCCATCCTCTCCCACCCACCCGCCATCTTTTTCCCGATGCAAAAATGATGCCGTTTCAAAAATGATTTTGCGTTTACTGCGCGTAGGTTTTTGACGAGCTTTTTCAGACCGGCTACAGCTCTGCGGCAGTGGACAAGGTCATCATTCTCGAGGAAGACCTCGAGATAGGTGAGAGCCGCAACGACCCAACCCTGGCCGTACCCCTTATGGCTCAAGGACATCATCGTTCACTGCGATCGTCGTGGGTCGTGTAGGGAACAAAAGTCAATCCGGTAGGATGACCGTTGGTCGTGATAGGTGCGCGTTGTTTTCTTGTTTTCACCCGACCATAAGGCGTTGGTTCGTGGCTGGCTGTTTTTTTTTTTTTTTTACGGCCGTTCACTGATGACACGGGGTGGCGTTGGAACCGGTTCGTATCTGGCTGAAGAGCGTGTAGTCCGTCACCCCAAGACCCAAGCCGGGTGTATCATCAATTGTTGCGGCGGGTCGATGGATGTCATGCCATGGGAGCGACGTACAAGTACAGAATGTATCTTGCATCTTGTGGTATGTATTTAGTACATTCTGCACCCACGCCCTCCTCCCCAACGTCCTTCCGCCGCCCCTCCCCCTCCCCCTCGCTCCTGCTCCCACCGCGGCACATTCCAGCGCCGGACTTTTTCGAGTACTTTTCGGCGATGGCGCCGCTGCTAGATTCGGACGAGACACTGATGGCGGTTTCTGCCTGGAACGACAACGGTCAGGCCGCCCACGTGAAGGCGAGTTGTGGCTTGATTTGTTGTTGCTCTTGGGGGGTGGAGGAAGTAGTGTTCGCGTTTCATGCTGTCAGTTGATTGATTGAGGGTCTAGTTTGCTTTGTTGGCCCGAGATTGGTCGATTGGAGCACCCCCCGAAACCGTTCTTCACCCCCTACCCCGCACTCCTTCGTCATAATTGAGTCTCACGGTACTATGTACTCCGATATATGTAACAATGCAGCGGGACTATCCGTTCGAAACAATCCTCAGGGGGATTGTGCACGAGTGTTGCACGACGTAAGGGCGCTTTTCATCAACGATTCCCGCCCACACGAAACGTTCACCATAGGATAATAAGGCGTTATTCCGGAGCGATTTCTTCCCGGGGTTGGGGTGGATGCTTCCGCGAAGGGTGTGGGACGAGCTTGCCGCTGATTGGCCGGAGGCCTACTGGGACGACTGGCTCAGAGACCCGCGGAGACGGAAGGGGCGTCAGTTCATCCGCCCGGAAGTCTGTCGGACCTTCCACTTCGGCCAGAAGGTGTTTTATATACCTTACGCACCATGGGGGTGCCAACCATGTTTGATGGTTTTCCACCACGAAGTGTGCGGAACGCGTTATACTACCACCCCTGACGTTATTGTTACAGGATTTGGTGAGTTTGATACCACTAGCTAGCAACGTTGTTGATAGATTTTGATTGATTTTGGCGAAGCCCTGGCGGACTTGGACCCCGCCGTCCTTGTGCACCAACGCCTCAATACAAGTAGTTGGGATATACCCCACGGAGGGAATAAGGAGGGGGACTGCCTAGGGTAACCTGAGAGGGTGCTTAGCTTGTGGTGCGTTCTGTATGAAGTGCTTTCCTGTTCGCGGGAGAGGGTCGGTCTTCCGTACCGCATCCCAATCAGTTTGATATTCCTGTCGCGTCCTAGGTTTGTACCGATTGACCAGGGTCCTCTTCGCGTACTGTGGTATTCAATCATCGACGGGTCGCTCTGTGCTAAGGCTCTGCTTCTACCAAAAGCGGGTGCGCTTTTAGTGCCGCCTGTGGAATAACACGGCCTAGCGATCTCTGTTCGTTTTTTTTTTTTTGTCTCTTTTGTCTCCACAAGGCCGGAGCCTCTCATAACCAGTTCAGCCAACTCCTGAACAACATCAGGCTCAACGAAGAAGCGGTGAGTTATTGGCGGGCCAAAGAAGTGCAATCGATCCTTCCCCGAGTGTCGAGCACTGCGGTAGGACGCAGAACACCCAACAGAATGTTCTCGAAGCCTTCCGCGGCGAATGCCCAAGTGTGATATCGTTCTTGGATGTTGATTGGTCAGTCAGCGATGGTTTGGTCAACTAATCATGGTTGGTCCGAGTGTGCGTCGCCATCGCACAGTCCATGAAGCCGCCACTTATGAAACTGTTCTTGCGGGCGGAAGCTCAAGGTCTTTCGTCAGTGCTGAACCCTGGATCTGGTGAACGTGTTTCCTTCGTCAGGTGTCCGGCAAAGTGATGATGTTGATCTTACACCTGTTTTTGTTTTCGTTTTCTTTATCCTCGGAGATTGACAACAACTTTTTCCTGGAACAAGGCTGTGAAACCCACGCCCAATGTCCCACGTGATGCAAGGCTGTTCATAGTAGTAACTCGNGTGTTGATTGGTCAGTCAGCGATGGTTGGTCCGAGTGTTCGTCGCCATCGCACAGTCCATGAAGCCGCCACTTATGAAACTGTTCTTGCNATGTTGATTGGTCAGTCAGCGATGGTTTGGTCAACTAATCATGGTTGGTCCGAGTGTGCGTCGCCATCGCACAGTCCATGAAGCCGCCACTTATGAAACTGTTCTTGCGGGCGGAAGCTCAAGGTCTTTCTTCAGTGCTGATCTGGTGAACGTGTTTCCTTCGTCAGGTGTCCGGCAAAGTGATGATGTTGATCTTACACCTGTTTTTGTTTTCGTTTTCTTTATCCTCGGAGATTGACAACAACTTTTTCCTGGAACAAGGCTGTGAAACCCACGCCCAATGTCCCACGTGATGCAAGGCTGTTCATAGTAGTAACTCGCTACTCAGCAGTGCCCTATCAACTCCCTGTTTCGTGTCTGCGATAGGTGCCATTGGTTTGCTATTTTCAGCGCCTCTTTGCCCTTTGAACTATTACATGAACTGGTGCACAGGTCCCGTTCCGAGAAATGGACGTGTCGTACCTGATGCCCGACGCCTTCCGGAGTTGGCTCGACGGTGAATTGAGGGATGCCCGAACTGAGACGGTCGCGAATGTCAAGGCCGGCCGTGCGTTGTCTTCGGTGAGCAGCAACAAAGTGCCGGTATTTTACCATGTTATTGAGGTTTTTTCAGTTTTTTCTGTATAACCCAACGATTCCATCTTTTGTCTATAGGAAAGAGTCCGAGATAGATTTGCAATGGATCCAAAGCGTCAGCGAAAGTTCTGCTTTCCCAATATTTCCCGAGCGTATTGTATCCTTGTCCATTTCTTTATTTTCCTTTGCACACAAGGAACCTCGTTTCTGGTGAAGGAAAAAACGAGTTGTTGCTCGGTTCAATTATACGTTTTGGTTCGGTGTATTCACACACAGGGAACTTCATTTAAGCCATTGTCCAAAAGGTGACGACTCGACGACAATATGGAGTGTTTAATATGGTCTTCATGCACCGTTGCCTTTTCTCTCTCTTCCACATGTTAGATATAAATATAACGGGTACCGCACTGAATGACAATGGTGATTAGCGGGAAAAGCTGCTTTCGGCGGTAAACGACGTAGGTCCAAAAAAANTTTGAGTTTTTTTTAGTTTTTCTGTATAACCCAACGATTCCATCTTTTGTCTATAGGAAAGAGTCCGAGATAGATTTGCAATGGATCCAAAGCGTCAGCGAAAGTTCTGCTTTCCCAATATTTCCCGAGCGTATTGTATCCTTGTCCATTTNATTGAGGTTTTTTCAGTTTTTTCTGTATAACCCAACGATTCCATCTTTTGTCTATAGGAAAGAGTCCGAGATAGATTTGCAATGGATCCAAAGCGTCAGCGAAAGTTCTGCTTTCCCAATATTTCCCGAGCGTATTGTATCCTTGTCCATTTCTTTATTTTCCTTTGCACACAAGGAACCTCGTTTCTGGTGAAGGAAAAAACGAGTTGTTGCTCGGTTCAATTATACGTTTTGGTTCGGTGTATTCACACACAGGGAACTTCATTTAAGCCATTGTCCAAAAGGTGACGACTCGACGACAATATGGAGTGTTTAATACGGTCTTCATGCACCGTTGCCTTTTCTCTCTCTTCCACATGTTAGATATAAATATAACGGGTACCGCACTGAATGACAATGGTGATTAGCGGGAAAAGCTGCTTTCGGCGGTAAACGACGTAGGTCCAAAAAAATGCCGGTAATTCACGCTATTCCACTTAGTTCCATCCGGTACCCTTGAAAAAGAACGGGAAAAAATGTTGCCGNAGTAATTCACGCTATTCCGCTTAGTTTCCATCCGGTACCCTTGAAAAAGAACGGGAAAAATTGTTGCCGTTGTGTAAGACATTCTGGTGGTAAGCGTTTAGGCTCAACGCGGGCAGTAAACCCCCNGGTAATTCACGCTATTCCACTTAGTTCCATCCGGTACCCTTGAAAAAGAACGGGAAAAAATGTTGCCGTTGTGAAAGACATTCTGGTGGTAAGCGTTTAGGCTCAACGCGGGCAGTAAACCCCCCATGTTGACAATTTCAACCATACTATCGTATCCATGGCGTGCACCTTCAGAAATCTGTCCCCAGGGGTCTCCTCTGTGGCGCTGTCTGTGTGTGAACCAGGAATCACAAACAAATCCCGTGCCCGGCCTATCGGCCATTTTTTTTTCTTCTCTTGACGAGCAGGAGGTGGTGGTCGAGATCACTATTTCCGCTATTATACTCAAGCGGCGTTTTCTGCGTGTGAACCAAGAATCGCCAACGAATCCCGGCTTTCACAAGAGAGGCCGTCGCGCTTGCCCATCGCTTTTTTTTTTTTTTCTTGACGAGCAGGAGGTGGTGGTCGAGTACGGGAGCGAGCGGGAGTTCGCGTCGCTTGCCCGTCAGCTTGGCATTATGGACGANTCTTCGCTTGACGAGCAGGAGTTGGTGGTCGAGATCACTATTTCCGCTATTATTCTCAGGCGGCGTTTTCTGCGTGTGAACCAAGAATCGCCGACGAATCCCGGCTTTCATAAGAGAGGCCGTCGCGCTTGCCCATCGCTTTTTTTATTTTTTCTTGACGAGCAGGAGGTGGTGGTCGAGTACGGGAGCGAGCGGGAGTTCGCGTCGCTTGCCCGTCAGCTTGGCATTATGGACGACATGAAGGCGCAGGTCCCTAGGACCGCCTACATGGGCGTGGTCTTTCTCTGGGTGGGAGAGACCAAGGTCTACCTGGCGCCGAGAGAGGCCGTGTCTCGGCTGCGGCGATGATACGAGCGCTCGTCGCGTAGATGAATACGGTGGGCGACGTGCATAACATGTCATACCCGATTTTCAAATCTCGAATAATTCCACGAGCGAAGGGGATGTACAAGCGTTTTCGGATAGTAGAGCTCTCGACGAGACGGTTCCAACGGGGCCCTTTCGCCGCTCGTTTTGCCGTGGAGTAAACGAGCTTTGAAGATCGCTTTAGGGGGTGGGTGGAATATCTTACGTCGCCTACGGTGTATTCCTCAAGGAACACGAACGCTTCCACTTGTAGGGATGCAAACTTGAGAGCATCGATGTCGCACAAGTGTTTGTGGGGGGAGAGCTTTGAACACGCCGCCGCCGCGGTCGACCCTCTTTCAGTATCGTTGCGGTTGTTGTTGTGGTTGTCTTAATTAACAATAAACAACCGTTCCGGTCTTCCATCAGTACCTTCTAATGTCCGTTCTGGCCCAACTGGCGCGGACGCCTTCCTTTCGGGGTCACAAGTGTGTTGGCAAAAAAAAAGCGTTGCCGTCGAGATTCTGCCCCAATTCGATTGTGGGGAACGGGGAGAGTCGTTGGTAGGGTGTTGTGTTTTCTTCTCGTTTGAACAGGATGGCTGCTCATCTTGCGTGGGCGCATAACGTTGACTGCCTTTGTTCTGGAGTTGTTGACTGCAGCACGTCGTAAGGTACTTCTATTTGTTTTGTACTGTTTCTCAAATGAATTGTAATAGGTGACAATCTTGTGTGTGGATGAACTTCGCTGTCCATCGTTTACTGCAACACAAGCCTTTGTTTGTTTCCGGTAAAGGTGCCCGCCACCGCCGCCTGTGTCTCCTCTGTGAGTGATGACAAGTATACCGGGACCGGATCTCTACATCATCAGCCCTTGTGGTCTACAGGTTTGCCTGCCACTCATCCCTTGTGTTGCGTCGTCGACGGGTTCGCCTGTCACGCATCCCATCTATCGTCCTGGTTGAGTGCCCCATGTTTTGTCGTGATCGACGGTTTTGCCGGTCACTCATCCCATCTGTGGTCGTGGTCGAGTGCTTCGCCTGCCACTTATCCCATCTTTTGTCGACCCCCAGTCAGTCTGATTTCTCTCAACGATGAGCCCCGGGGTGAACCAGTGTTCGGTTCCTTCCAGAAGCCCTCCACCCCTTTTATCCCTCGCGGGTACGGAAACGCCACCGACGTGATCGGGGCATGGAATGGGACGAAGCTACGGACGGTTTCACGCAGCCTGTTGAACGAACTCCCAGGGTTTGTCTAGGAGTCTTCGGTATTTTAATCTCTACTACCACACGTAGTCTACCCGCCCCCCACGTTTGCCGGCGGTTGAACCGCTTCTCGCTCTTTACATTTTTGCGAACTTTCGATCGGCCGGGAAGACCCAAGTATTCAAAAACATCGTCGGGTCCTCATGTACCCCCATTTTTCTAGTTTGGCCGCCACCTCAGCCCCCGACAGCTAAGAGACTGCGGTGTGCCTTGCTCTAACCTATCGTCCTTTGCAATCCCGGCTATACACCGTGTTGTCGCCTTTCTTACGAATAATATGACAAAATCGTCCATGGTGAGAAAATGAGCCTGAGTCCGCCGACGGTCGCTATTTACGGCCCAAGCCAACCGTTTTTCTCGTACAAACGTCGAGCACCGATGCCCTAACCCTAACGCCGCATAGTCTATGCTACTCCGCTGTTTAACAGAGGTAGATTCCTCGACACCCCAACCACGCTGTAGCTACGTGGCTCTGTCCAGTCAGTAGCGATCGAGAGGGTTATGCCAAACATGTCTCAAGCAGAATTTGCGAAATCGTGGAGCGGACGTGCCCTCACATCGAGCAGTTTTGGCGGTAATCTCGACATCAACAGCAGGCAGGCGCACCTTGGCTCGAGCGAGAATTTTGTTCTCTTTTTCCTGCACTCTTCGTCCCTGTCCTTGCCGTGCATATTCAATCCTATCTCAACTAAATTGCAATCCCTACCCCACTTCGATTCGCTCGCCGCCTAGCTTGATCCTCCTTGAAATGCATCTCCTTGACGGCATGGACAGGGACGGCGGTTCCATCCGGCGCATCTCTGAGAATGTACATGAGAGTTGAGAAGCGGGGGGGGGTGGGGTTACCAAAATGGGAGCATGATCTTCACGAAGATTTGCAGCACATGAAGAACCTTGTTGAAGAACTTTATCGTGCTGAAGTACGCCTCCCACCAATTGGTTGTGGATGACACTTGAAATGTTGCATTCAATGAAGATATCCCCATCGCGTGTCGCTTTTTTCCCACGGAAATGCTCTAGACAAACCCCGATGGCCTAGAAAGAACCCCCGTGTCGGCGAGTACAGTCTGCACCGCAGTTCAGGCGACGTCTGCGCGGGGTCCTGTCCAATCTGTTCGGGTACGTTCAGTAACTTCGTTATCTCAATTAATCACGTTCACCCACGGCTAGTGCGTCACCACAAACATATAACAGTTAGCCCCCGCGATTAAGAAACAAACCTTTGAGAAAATAGGGCTCAGCCGTGGATCCCACACTAAACTCTTCATGATGATATAGTGACCAATGCTCGACGGCGGTGACAAAAAATAAATTTGAGCCTCGACCCCAAAACCACGTTTCTTAAGCAGACGNCTAGGGCTCAGCCGTGGATCCTACACTAAACTCTTTATGATGATATAGTGACCAATGCTCGACGGCGGTGACAAAAAAATAAATTTGAGCCTCGACCCCAAAACCACGTTTCTTAAGCAGACGCGGGCGCTAACCGTACCTGAGTTCGTAGTAGACTGGCGCCTGGCGCCCGGAATGGACATTAGGACGAAACACTGCCAAACATGTTGTAGACACATGCATGCATACCTACCTGTACATGATGCGACTCCTGTGTGGGGCCGCCACTTCCTCTGGAGCCGGCGTCCACTGATCGCCTTCGGTATCCCAACGCCCCCACCCCCGGACACCGAGGATGTTCGACCTTCGCCCGTAAAGCTTCACGCTGGCGTCCAAGCCCGAGTAATCTCGAACCTTCTCTGTCCACCAGCTGATGTTCATCACATTTTGTTTTTTGGTCATTTTCGTGCCGAAAAGAGTCAAAGAGGAACGAGGAACGAGGAACGAGGAACGAGGAAGGAGGAACGAGGGACGAGGAAGGAGGAGGGGTGGCTTGCGTGTTGCTCGGCTTCGCAGTCGTGAGACAATTTACCAGGCAGCCTTTCCAAGACGGAGCACGCGTCCTGCTCCGTTTCTATATATTTACGTTGCTTCTGCCGCACGTGCTTGCTTGCGTCGCTCAGACACTAACTTCGTATTCTCCCCCCTCCCTGTTGGGCGGGGAGATGCAGAGGATGCGCGTAGGGGGGGCGTACGCTTATGTTTTGCATGCCTTAGCGGTTAGACCATTGACCACGCGTCATCGAGAGGACGGAGCATTGTTCCCACAGGACCGATCACCGATGGCCAATCGTTCCTTTCTACTTTGCCAAAGGTGGCTCAAAATTGTCTTCCCTAGTCTGCCTATCCTAACGATATCCATTCCCGCCTTTTCAAACCACCTACTATGCCCCAGTACAGCTACCGTCCTTTCCTCTCTATTCNTTGTCTTCCCTAGTCTGCCTATCCTAACGATACCCATTCCCGCCTTTTCAAACCACCTAATATGCCCCAGTACAGCTACCGTCCTTTCCTCTCTATTCCATGCCTCAAACATCTCCCTGTACGTTCCATCTATTTTTCCCAGCTCAGTCACGTACACTTCCCTCTCCTTCTTGTACAACGGACATTCCGCGACTACATGAACACGTGCTTCGCATTCGAAGCCGCAATCACATTTGAAGTTGTGTTCTTCGTCGTCTACCGTCCTATGTCTTCGTCGACGTTCTCGAAGGCCTATGTCCCCGGTCCTGAATTTGACCTAAAGCTTTGGTCCTGCATCCATTGGTCCATGTAGGTAATCCTTGGACCCTATTCCTTCCTTCAACATTCCGTACACTTCTAGACCCTCCTTATCCTTGG